ATATTAAATGTATTTTCGCTTAGACAAAAGTCAAAATAGCACCTTAGGCTATAAGGAAATAATACAAAATCCAATCAGTGGCCCATAATGACCCAAGAAAGCCCAATAATCATAACCCACCCAAAATATATACAATCCGCTCCACAAAAAACAGAGTACTTCAAAATTAAAGATTCAGGAAGATTTAAAAACACCAAGATCGGATTTTTGTAGAACTCGCGGCTAAAGATCACATGAGCCGATCAGACAACGAAGGTAGTCGCCGGAAAAAGTTCAACACCGGAGAAGGTTTCCGATCACGGAAAATCGGATGCCGGAAATAATAAAACCCGGAAGCCATAGCCACCATCTTCGTCGGCACAAGATACAACACCAACGCAACCACCAAACACAGCCCAACGAATAAACCCGTCGCTCGTGGATCACGCCACGTCACCAAAGCCTGCATCCTCTCCCCTTGCGCCGCAACTTCACCCAGAATCGTCTGAACACGAGCTCCGACTGCTCTCAGCTTATCGTACCTCGACCGGACCATATCCGGTGGACGGTTACTCGGGACCACATCGAACTCCTCGTCGAGCTCGTCTCTATCAGCTGCATCAGCCAGCGAGAGTTTTGGATCAAAATGAGGTAGAGCAGCGCGTGACCTGAACCTGTAATTCCACGCGCCGATCACGAAAAGGTAAAACGCTAATGTCGGAACGATTAGATCAGGGAACCAAATCAGCATCACGACAAGCGCGTGGACGAGTAGTGTCGATGTCGGATTCTTCCAGAAACGCGTGTCATCCACCCACCGCACCACGTCGATCATTCCGGCGACAACATTGACAATCCGGAGCCAATTCGCTCGGACTTTACGCATACTGAAAGTGTGCGAATCGGCGTCGAGCATGTACCGTACAATCTCCGGCCTTAAAGGCGGCTCAGATCGTGACAAGTGTACGGACAATATCTTCACTGCTGTGTTCCTCAACATATCTTCTTGAAACAAGGTCAACGGTTTGATATGGTGCATCAAAGGCAACAGCGGTTGACTGTACACGTGTAAGAAATCCAACGGTGGAACTGACCTCACGAATCTAACGGCTAATTCTATCTCTCCCATTCTTTTAACGCCTCCATTAACTAACATCAGCA